TCCTCCTGCGCGCCCCCCGCAGAAAACGTTTAACCAACGGATGAGAGCGGGCTGTGAACCCCCCGAATCCGTCGTGACCCGAAGTAATGGCTGCCGCGAACACCGCCAAGGTGGCGACAGCCCTCCCCTTGTCAAAGAGCTCCTGTAGGAATCCCAGGACGCCCTCCAGCGGGCAACGCCTGGGATCCCAGGAACGGGAACCGCACCAGACACTGAAGAGCCTCCACCTCGTGGCGTAGGCCCTCACAGTGGACGGCGCCCTCGCCCCCTGAACGTTCTCCATCACCGCAGGGGGAAGACCCAGGTCTACGAGGCTCCGCCTCTCAGCCTCCAAACCCGGAGCCTGCGGCCGATTATCGGGCGTGAAAACAGGGCTCCTCCCCCCTGGACTAGAGCCCCCGGCTCGTCCGGGAGGGCCCAGGGCTCCATCACCGCCATGCCCCTCAGGAAGGGGAACCACCGGGCATGCGGACTGTCCGGAGCCACCAGGATCACCGACCTCCTCTCCTGTTCGATCCTCCGCAGCAGGACCGGCAGGAGACGCACCGGTGGGAAAGCGTACAGCAGGCCGCCTGGCCAGGGGTAATGAGCCAGAGCGTCCACGCCTAAGGGCGGCTCGTCCGCGGCCCTTAAGGCGAACCAGGACGGGCACTGTGCGTTCTCTGCACTGGCGAAAAGGTCGACCACTGGACGGCCAAACCTCCGCCAGATCGCCGCAGCTACCCGCGGGGCCAGGCCCCACTCGTCCTGGAGCGGGCCCCCCCTGGACATCCTGTCGGCCCCCACGTTCCGGACCCCCGGGATGTGGCGCGCCCTGAGAGACAGGAGGTGAAGCGCTGCCCACAGCAGCGTCACTGTCGCCATGCGATGGAGAGCGGGGGACCTGGTGCCCCCCTGCCTGTTCAGATAGGAGACCACTGTGGTGTTGTCTGAGCGCACCATCACGTGTCTCCCCTGCAGCTGAGGAGCAAAGTGCAGCAGTACTCTGTGCACTGCCTCCATCTCCAGCAGGTTGATGTGACGGGTTGAGTCCGACCAGCAGCCTCCTACAGAGCTCTGGCCGAGGACCCCGCCCCATCCTTCGAGCGATGCGTCCGTGAACACCTCCACGTGAGACACGGCGCAGGCTAGAGTCAGTCCGTCCCGCAATAGACCCGGAGTGAGCCAGAACCTGATGTCCGATGCTGCCACTTGGGGAACCCAGATCAGCCTCCCCCCGTCCCGGGAGGGGTGAAGCCTGAGGCGTGAGAACCACCTCTGAAAATTCCTCATGTGGAGCAGGCCAAGCTTGCTCTTCTCCCTGTTCACCACAAAGCCCAGACGCTGTATGTGGGACAGGACCCAGTGCGTGTGGCTCACGGCCACTTCCCTGGATGAGGCCAGAATTAACCAGTCGTCTATATAGGTTAAAATTCTTACCCCTGCGCGTCTGAGCGGCTCCAGTGCTGCCTCCACACATTTGGAAAAAGTCCGAGGCGCGAGTGCATAACCGAAAGGGAGACGGCAGTACTCGTAATTCCTCTCTCCCACTGCGAAGCGCAGAAACCTCCTGTGTTCTGGCACTATGGGCACGTGGAAGTACGCATCCGTCAGGTCTATGGATGTCATCCAGTCTCCCTCCCTGACACACTCGAGGAGCTGCCTTGTGGACAGCATCCGAAACTGCCGTTTGGAAATGCACTCGTTTAACACGCGCAGATCCAGAATGGGACGCACCCCGCCTGATTTCTTTGGCACTAAGAATTAAGGGGAGTACAGCCCCCTGGTGGCGTCCTGCGGGTCTACCTCCACTGCTGCGCCTCGACTCAGCAGAGAGGAGACCTCCGCTTGTAGTGCCTCTATCGATCCCCGTACCTGAGAGCGTACTGCCCGTACGCCTCGGAATGGTGGTGGCTTTCGGAAAAATTGCAGAGCGTAACCCCTGCGCAAAGTTTTCTCCAGCCAAATATCTGTCAGCAAGCCCTGCTCCCTCCAGATGCTGTAGAAGTCTGTGAGGGGCGGAACGGGAGCTGGAACACGAGACGTCACGGCCCCGCCCTCTCCTGGTGTTCCTAGCAGGGAGGGGGGGTGGCTGAAAGGGCCGGGGGGCCCCCTGCGTCACACCGTGAGCGCCGGGGGCGGTCACGTGTTCTGCAGGCCCGACGTCATAAGTACGGGACTGCTCACCACACGTGACTCGGCTGCTGTGCCCCCCCCTGGCTCTTGCCGCATGGAGGGGGGGGGCGACCCCCTGGAGTGGGAAACCCCGTGTTAGCCTTGTAGCTCAGAGATGCTAACACGCGTTCGGCCGAAGCACACACATCATTACTCACCAGATCCCTCCGCCTGCCCTCTCTCTGCGAGGGCATAACATGAACCCGTGAATCGGAGCTCGTGGCTCGCGTAGCGCACTGCACACCCTTCTCTGGGGGCTGCAGGCCTAGCGAAGCCACGTTATGTGCTCGAGAAGTAACACAAACAGAATTCAGATCATTTGACATGTTACATACCCCCAAATGAGACTCAGACAGCGAGTACTGATGAAATGCCGGACGGCTTTTATTGAAAGAATTCTTCCCACCCCGACCTCCTCTGCCATAGGGAGGTCGTCGGTGGGTGCGTTGGTCCCGCGAGCCTCCCGTGTGCCTGTCTGGGCCCGGGGGCCTCGTCGGGGGGGGACGATAAGCCACGGAGCGTGGATATGGACCAGGGCGCCTCCCGGGCGAACGCTCCCTGCCTCTGTCTCGGCTCCGCGCTGGTGGGCGGGCCTCGCGCCTCGGCGCTAGGTGCTGGGCTAGGCTAGCCGAGTCCTTGGCTGCGGTCTCCAGTCTAGCCACCAGGGTCTGCATCTCCGGACCGAAAAGAGACGTCTGGGAGATAGGCAGGTCCAACAGCTGCCTCTTCTCCGCCTCTCTGATGTTCGCCAGCCCAAGCCAGAGGTGCCTGGCCCCGACTTGAGCTGCTGCCATGGTGCGGCCGCCATCGACAGCTAGCGCCTGGCACATGCGCAGGATCGCCGCCGAAGTGGTCCTCGCCTGGGATAAGGTGTCTCCACTGAGCGCCTGGCCAGAAGAGAGCGACCTATCCAGGGCCCCCGTGATGAAGGCCATGTTGTTTGCCACAGCGACGACCTGTGCCGCATTGGCGTAACATCTGTCGTGCATCGCCAAAGACGTCCTGTCCCGCTCGGAGGGAAGGAGAGGTCTGGTGCCGGGCCACACGGACTTTAACATCACAGCCAGGGGACTACAGATGAAAAATAGCCTCCTTGGCTAATTCTGGCTTTTTTAACTCATGTTTTATCATGTGTTTTATTAAATTGCATTGTCCCCCTTTGAAATAAACTAAACTGAAACTGAAACGGATGCGGAGGGGTGCAGGGCCATGCGGACCGAATCCTCGATGTCCGGGAACCCGCCGGTTCAGGACCAGTCCTGCACGTTGCAGTACATACCGTAGCCCAAAGCGGGCCTCTTGGCCGCTAGGGGCTTTGGCCACTCACGTGTCGCATAATGGACGATCGGGTCCATCCGCGGGCACAACGTGGGCTGCGTCCTCCTCCTCCCTCGAGGGGTGGCGTAACCCGAGGTGAAGTCCTCCACCTTCTGGGTCGGTTGCGGTGGCAGGGGGGCATCCATGATGGCCGCCGCAGTGGAGTAGAGCCCAGGCATGTGGTCCAGCAGGAAGCGGTCCGGCTCCGGGTTCGACACCACCTCGTCCAGCGTGAGGAGAGAGCCGACCTCCGAGATCTCTCCGTCCTCACAGTCACCCCACTCCGCGGGCACGGGTGGAAGGTCGAGTGGGGCCCAATCAATCACAGACTCCTCGTCCTGAGAGGAGTCCGGACGGGGCGCTGTAGCGGCGTGGTACGCATGCCTGCTTTCGCTCTCCTCCCTGGGGAGAGCGAGACACGAGGCGCAGGTGGCGCTCAACGCCGCATGGCCCGGGCCCAGGCACATGAAGCAGCTGGAGTGCTGGTCCGTGCGCTGGAGCCTGACTCGACACGTCGAGCAACGACGACGTCCGACGCCGGATGGCGAAGGGGAACTCGGACGAGCATCAGAAGACATCTTTACTCTCTGGTAAAAATTGAAACTGTGTAGATCTCAATCGGCGCCAGAGTGAAAGAGGGGGTGCGGCCTTGTGCAGGGGCATTTATAGAGGAAGGTGGCTGGTGATTGGAGCAAATTATTTTGATCTCTCTGGCGTGTGACCTGGGGGTCACGAGTGATATCCCACTAGCGAAGTCCTAAGGGACGTAGCACCATGACGTAGAATAAATAGCTTAGCATGAACAACAGAACATAAATGAAAACAAATCAAATACATGGTTACAACATCCTGTCTTGTATTTCTCAGCTGTTGGGATCCCACCTGAAGCCTATGTAACCTTTTGGGATCAAGTTGGCCCCCAGGTTTAAGACCACAGTGATGGCCCTATCCACCCGGGGTTTAAGACTTCCCTGCTTCCCTGGGTTTGGGACCACAGAGACTGCCTTTCCCCCCTGGGTTTAGGACCACAGTGATGGCCTTATCTCCTGGGTTTGAGACCACGGAAAAAACATTGTCACCCGGGGTTTAAGACCACAGAGGCCCTAAAGAGATCTTCCCATGCAGCCGAGGCAAGGCGAGGAATATTAAAACTCCACTCGAAATTGGTGTCTGGATATTTTCAATTTGGGTCTGATTACCTGGGTGAGAGGGGATAGCAGGGCAATTGACTTTCCCTGCTGCTTTAAATGGCTTCCTACCTACTGTATGGATGAATATTTTATCAAGAGCGACAGTATTAAATTTGCTGGGCTTGATGAAATAGAGGGCTCACTTCAAAAACATGATTACAACGGTGCAAGTAATTTAAGTTCATCATTCAGATACAGACTTTTGTTTATACTGTAGCATGCAGAATACAAGCAAAAGTATGATCCTAATCCAAAATATAAAATAAGAGTTATATAAAAAAGAAGAGCAAGTTTTTAAAGAGTAGGTTTAATGACAAAAGGGTGTATCATGACTTCACATTATTTGACCTGGATAATAACAAGGCAAAATTCATTGTTAGCATGTATGAATATATATATTTTACTTTTTTATCCACAAAGCTTGTATTAGTATAAGTGGACATCATAAAGGAAGTGGGGTATGTGATATGACTTTCCCACTCTACGTTCAAAGGTCTAATTAGAACTTTTCCTGTTCTATTCCCAGAAATGTTCAACTCAAAAAGATATTTTTGTGAGTTCGCTATTCACATGTCTTTTATTTTTCACTTTCGTAGGGGACATGTTAGACAATTCGAAACCTGTTGGCGTTCCATATCATCAATGTATGTGGTTGAAATGTTGCAAAAAAAATACATTATAAGCCTTTCATTGGATTTTGTTGCTTTCAGACAGACATTGAGATAGTCCCGTCATGTCTGCCTGCTCTGAAGTTTTGTCCTCTTGCTGCTCCAGCGATAAATCTCTTTCCATTATAGCCAAAATTTAACTATGCCATAAAATCGATCCGTCTGCCTGTCAGATGCTTTGTCCTTTGCGATTTCTGCAAATAGCCGTTATTACAGTGAAACTTGAGTGTGAAAAATGGGGCCTTTCAGAAAAATAGCCCAATTACAAAGTGTCGAAGGTCCAAAAAGTGACACTTGAGTTGATACGGTGCAGATCATTGTCAATGAGAGCATTTAGATCAGGACCACCTACAGTATCTAATTTAACTAATGTTTGCCAATAACATATTTAACGTGTTCATACCACTTGCCATAGAGTATGTTAGTGTGAGGAGTTGGTTTTAAAAGCATCCTCTGTCCAGATATCTTTGTTGAAAAACATTTTCCAGAATCCACATGAAGCCTGATTTCAACATCCCCCGCTCGCTGAGATGGATGAGAGGTGCTGGCAGCTATTTGAACCATAGGGATTTCATATTCATTTGAGCTTTGAGATGCAACTATTACAGCATTTGGAGAGGCTTGATAGGACTGCGACAGTATAGAAACTGCAGCTGATCATTCCTGGCATGGAACAACTAATATGATCTTTGTTCATTTATTGAGCTAAATATAAAATTATTGCTTGTAATCTTTGCATGGAGGATGATACAGCGTTTATAACTGGGGAATCTCAGGGCGGCAAAATATTGATGTTGGCGCTCTGCAATGTCTCACAACCGCTTCTACACATGCATTATTATTTTTCACAATGACTAGTTTATAGTTGTTTGTGTCACCAAGGCTGTCAGCACAGATTTTGCATTGACGGTTGGGGAAGTTGGCATCAAACTACTTTTCCTTGTCTTTGTTATGGCTCAAGTTTTTTGATACCGATAATGCCAGCAGAAAAATACAAATTAAATGACACATTTTAGTTTGGATATGTCCCTCTTGTGAATGTCCCAGATAAACTGATTAGTGTTTTGTGTTCAAGTTCTGTAAAAAGTGAAAAGCAGATGGGCTTCAATCCAATCCAAACTGGAAGTTATGTGAGCCCTGATCCAATCACAGAGCTGGCCCCCATCCACCACCATGACATGAATGATAATGGCTTCATGTGCGAGACAGAACGGAGTCAGACGGAATCAGAACGAGCGGGAAAGAGTCCGAATCGGGACTGGTACTGCAAGCATATGTCACAGTTATTGTGCTATGATCACCCAGATGTCTCTTTCCATGTTTGTGCTTCTGTCTGTGACATTGTGAAGCAAAGGGTTATGATGGGAATCTGTCAAAGTAATGCAATTAAATTTTTATGTTTTATGTTTTTTTCTCCCCAGGGCAAGTGTAGCTATAGAAATATATTCAAACGAAGACCTGGAAGTGAATATTGTAAAGTTTCAGAAGATTTGGTTTCCTTATTATGTTGGTGCCCTGATACGGAGGGTCATATGGGGGTTAGTTGTAGTTGCAGTCGAAGTCCTTAAAGCCAAAACTATTTCTGGGTGGACTATTTAGCTGAGATAATTACAGATACAATATGAGCTCTTTGGAATACAAACAATACCAATATCCATCTTTCCACCATTTATTTTCTTCCTCTACATCCATTACTGACTCACGGAAACATCAGTCTGAGCAGAGATCTACGCATATTTTTTTGGCCTATGATTCAGATTCAGATTCATTTTATTTGCCATCTGCAGTAAAACCACATTGGAATACGTTTGCAAAAGTCCCCAGTGTGCACCAGACAAGTACATACATAAAAAAGGTTAAAAGGTTCTCTGATCTGTGTTGGTGATTTCAATGGTTTTGCTAAGTCTTCTGAGATGACTATTGATGTGATTTTGGGCTACACAAGAATAAATTATATTGTATTGTATTGTGAAAGTACAGAAATAAAAGTGCAAGATTAATAACGCATATATAAACTGTCTCGCTAAACAGCTTGTGGAAAGAAGCCGTCAGCTTAGCGATATGTCCTGCATCTCAACGAACAATATCTTCTGCCAGACGGAAGAAGCTGGAACATACTTTTCCAGGGTGGCCAGAAGAGTCATTGATTATTCTACGAGCTCCGTTTAAAATTCTGGATTCATGAAGAACCTCCAGAACAGGCAGCTCACAGTCCTCTTTGCTATGCTGGAGAAATGAGCAGTAAAACTCTCTCGATGCAATATTTAAAAAGGCAAAAACAGGTGAGATTTGTTCATAATTGTTTACAGTTGGCCTATCAAAGCAAAACAAAGACACTTCTTATTTGATTGCTTTGAGTGCGTTTCAGTCCGGCCATCACCAATTCACACACGCCATTATGAGGTTAGCATCAAGATAAACAGTGAAAACCATGAAGTGGATTTTCTCGCCCAGGCAATGCTACAAAGGGACAGCGGCGGTTGGCCATAATCCCTTCGCATCTGCTGCTGTGAACATAATCCATGAGTTTCTTTGGTACTGTGGCTGAGGTCCAGTCTGCGCATGGATCCAGGACCGCTCCGCTCCTAGCTCTCATGAAGGCTGCAGAGTTAAAATGACCTTCGTCTTAGATTAACATTTTCAATTGGATCTTCACTGCACCACTTCAGGCCTCGGTGGAAAAAATGTACAGCAACGTGTTCAGGCAGCGTGCAGAGGCAAAGCTGAAGGCGCGCTAAGAGCTGGTCCCGTTGGAACCCAAACATCCATCCAAAGAAGTTTTCAAAGGTGAAGTGGTTCTGCCCTACTGCTTCGGCAAAGTTAGAGATTAGTTTGGCTTACTCAGGTAAGGTGGCTAAAGGTGGCAGTACTGGTGTCAAAGTAAGCAGTACTGCAGGGCTGCTCTGTGCACCTTTTTAGTAAACTTTTAACAACTTTTTAGCGCGTTTTTATTGTTCAGTTTTTTTAATATATCTGAGTGTTTTATCTTATTAATTCAGTGGTTTCAGCAAATAGCACTTAGTCCCGACTGAAACCCACTAGTAGCACAGAGGCTAACACAAGCTAACGAGGACATGGAAAGTGACAATGAAATTGGCTCAAACATGCACAATATTAGTCGCCTCACCTTGGAGCTCCGTGAGAGTGACCGTGCCACCATTGCAGATCTACGAAAAGAAGTCCTTCGTCTCACCGCAGAGTTGAATGAGAAACAATCTCTAGTATCCAAACTTTTTGAAGTCGCTGGTGGGCAGCATTCACGGCTGATGTCACTGAGCGCTGCATATTGTGACACTGTCGTGTGGGAGAGATCCGTCAGCTCCGGACCCTCCTGTTCTACACCTAAGCGCCCGGTTCCGAATAACGAGCCCGCGGATTCCGAGGAGCCATCCTGCGCCGTGGCCCATGTCCTGAGTCTGGCAAACCGCTATGCAGCCCTCTCCACTGACATCCCGGCCCCCTCAGCAGAATCCCTGGACACTGCAGCGTACTCTACTGCTCGAGGATCCAAGTCCACTACGAGGAAAACGCTCCTAAAGGAAGCAGTCCTCAGGCGAAAGAGCGGTCCACCAGCCATGTTGGCCTGTTCCCCTTCTTTGACCCCAGTGCAGCAGCCTCAGACTGGGGTAGCGAGCCATCATTACCATCGCTCACCTCCACCGGGTCAGCAGCAGCGCCCAGAGCCAGCCCCTCTCACCGCTCCAGCGTCCCCGAGCACACAGCGTGGGTCGCCTGTAGCTGAGAGTCAGCACCCCCGCTCCTCCTCTCCATGTGTTCAGCGGCGCTCAGGCTCCGGTCCTGCTTCGGGTGAACCCGCTGGTTCCGTCCACCGAGCTCCTTCTCCGAGGCCGCGTCCACGTCCACTCTTCGCCCCGACCACTCTGATTATTGGAGATTCCATCGTGAGACACGTCCGCTTCTTCAACGCGGTCACTCGCTGTATTCCCGGAGCTACTGTACCAGACCTGCTCATCCGTCTCCCTCCTCTGCTTCAGTCCCTGCCTGATACCGTTTCCAAGGTAATCGTGCATGTGGGAATTAACGACATGAAACTTCAGCAGTCAGAAGTCACGAAGAAACATTTTATGGATCTGTTCCACCTCCTTCAATCCTCCGGACTATCTGTTTTTATTTCTGGTCCAATCCCGACTGTAAACAGAGGTGACTGCCTCTACAGTCGTGTTGTGGCGCTGCATATGTGGATCCAGGCTACATGCAGCTCTTTTAACTTTGTCTTTGTGAATAACTTTGCCCTTTTCTGGAAACGTTACGAAGCCTATCGTCCAGACGGATTACACCCAAACAGATACGGTAGCAGCCTGTTGATGGACTACATACGTTATGTTGTTCAGTGCTCCCCGAGGGGGGCGTGACTGTTTACATCTGAGCCCCCTCGGACCCCACCGCACTCCCCCGCCTCCTGCTCACCAGCACCGGGTGAGTACAACGGTGCAAACACTGCTCCCTGTCCGTCTGGCAGTGCATTACCAGTCCAAACACTGAACTGTGCTGACTCCCTTCTGACTCTGGGAGCTAAAGAACAACAACAAGGGTTTTCACATTTTAGGCCAATTGAGACTGTGTGTGTTCCTCGCACCAGCTCAAAAATGTTTTTAAATTCTAAAAAACGAAATCAAAACAGGACAGCAGTTAGACGGTCCAACTCTGCAAATCTAATTTCTGTTCCCTGTAGAAATCAATCAACCACATTAATCGACTCTGACGTTATTTTTAAACTTGCTATGCTTAATGTCAGATCTCTATGTAACAAATCATTTTTAATTAATAATTTTATCACTTCTTATGATCTTGATTTTATGCTTATGGCTGAAACATGGCTGGACCAAAATACAGGAAATACAGTTCTAATAGAAGCAACACCACCCAATTTTAAATTCGAATCCGAAATACGAGAAAACAAAACGGGAGGCATAGCTGCAGTTTTTAGAGAGCACTTTGTCTCCCATAGAATGCCCCTTGGAAATTTTTCATCGTTTGAGTATATTTCTTTTAAAATGGAACAAAAGCAATCTTCTACTCTTTTCATTGTCCTGTACAGGCCACCACAGTCATGTTGCGATTTTATTGACCATTTTACTGAACTACTTTCATTCGTGTGCACAGATTTTGATAGTTTAGTTATTACAGGTGATTTTAATGTACATGTTGATAATGTTGATGACAGAAATGCAAAGGAGCTGGCTTCTGTATTTGAGACCTTTGGTTTCATTCAGCACGTGAGTGGCCCCACCCACAGCAGGGGGCACACTCTTGACCTGCTAATTACAAAGGGGGTTAATGTATCAAATGTTAATGTAGTTGATGTTGCTTTGTCAGATCATTTCTGTGTATTTTTTGACATGTGTTTTGCTAGCAAACCACCAGCTGAATTTACAATTGTTAGAAGAAGACACATACATGAAAACACAAGTGAACTGTTCATGGGAATGCTAAATTTTGAGAAAACTCCATGCTCTACTGTTGATGAATTGTATAACTCTGTCACCACCAGTGTTCTGACTGTTCTGGACGCCATTGCTCCTGTGACGGTAAAAATAGTTACCAGTAAGAAAAAGGCCCCATGGACTAAGGCAGACTCGGTCAGGGCACAGAAGCAAGAGTGCCGGAGGACCGAACGGAAGTGGCGAAAGTCCAATTTCCAGGGCGATTATGAAATCTTTAAAGATGAGTTGGGTGAATTTAACCGGGTTCTACGTAGAACAAGAGAAATGTATTTTTCTGACATTATTGGAGGTTGCAGTAACAATTTTCGTGTTATGTTTTCAACAGTTGGTAGATTAACGAACCCCCCTGTAAAGTTGCCCCTAGAATTTTCCTCTAAATCTAGGTGTAATGAGTTCGCACAGTTTTTCGATGACAAAGTACAAGGAATCAAAAACACTATCACCTCCACAGCACGTATAACAATGCAACAGCCAGAGAAGCTTTTTGAGCTAACTCACTTTGCACCTGTGGATACTGAAACTGTCAAAAAGATAATCATGAGTCTGAGCTCCTCCACATGTAGCCTGGATATATTGCCCTCTAAATTTCTGAAGTCCGTCCTGAGCAGTTTGTTACCTTCACTGACACAAATAGTAAACATGTCTCTGTCGTCAGGAACATTTCCTATGGCCCTAAAAACAGCAGTCATAAGACCTCTCCTAAAAAAGAGCAGTCTGGATCCTGCGGGACTTCAAAATTATCGCCCCATATCAAATCTGCCATTTATTGGAAAAATTCTTGAAAAAGTGGCCTCCCAACAACTTACTGAATTTTTAACAATGAATAATTCTTTTGATATGTTCCAGTCTGGGTTTAGACCCCACCACAGCACTGAGACCGCTCTAGTGAAGGTAACAAACGACATTCGACTTCACACTGATGCAGGTAAAGTCACAGTTTTGGTCATGTTAGATCTTAGTGCCGCGTTCGACACTGTCGACCATGAGATCCTCATGCAGAGACTGGAGGACTGGGTTGGTGTCACTGGCACAGCCCTAGACTGGTTTAGGTCTTACCTGGAGGATAGGAAGTACTCTGTGGAGATTGGAGACTGCGTCTCAGATGATGTGGCCCTGACCTGTGGTGTACCACAGGGGTCGATCCTGGGACCTCTCCTATTTAATCTCTACATGCTGCCGTTAGGTCAGTTAATACAAAGAAACAAAGTGTCCTACCACAATTACGCAGACGACACTCAGATCTATGTCTCACTGACTGCAGGAGAACATGGACCACTGGATTTGCTCCTTCACTGTATCCAACAGATCAGTGACTGGATGCAAAATAATTTCCTCCAGCTAATGCAGACCGAAATCATTGTCTTTGGTCCCCAGAAACAAAGAGAGGGCGTCATTTGTCAACTTCAGTCTCTCTCCCTACTTCCTTCAGACAAGGTCAGAAATTTGGGGGTAATACTGGACTCAGACCTAAATTTCAATAGCCACATAAAATCAATAACATCAACAGCTTTTTACCATCTGAAGAACATTGCCAAAGTTAGAAATATAGTGTCCAGGGCAGACTTGGAGATTCTTGTCCATGCATTTGTCTCCAGCAGGCTAGACTACTGCAATGGCCTGCTTACAGGTCTGTCCAAACAGACCTGTAAGCAGCTGCAGTACATCCAAAATGCAGCAGCTAGAGTCCTGACAGGAACCAGGAAGTATGACCATATTAGTCCGGTCCTCAGGTCTCTGCACTGGCTTCCTGTGGCTCAAAGAATAGATTTTAAAACGGCTCTGCTTGTGTACAAGTCTCTCCATGGCCTTGCACCAGAATACATTAGTGACATGTTGGTGTCATATGAACCGGCCCGGACTCTGAGGAGCACAGGGACTGGCCTCCTGCTGGTGCCCAGAGTGAGAACCAAACATGGGGAGGCTGCGTTTCAGATCCATGCAGCTAAGATCTGGAACAATCTCCCTGAAAATGTGAGGGAGGCGTCTACTCTGTCAATGTTCAAATCCAGGTTAAAGACTGTTCTGTTTGCCTGTGCATATAACTGAAGGATTTTTATCTCCATTTTTAATGCACTGCTGTCATTTATTTATTTTTTTAAATTTCTTGTGTAATTTTGAAAGTTTTAATGGTTTTATTCTTTTGTGTGATTTTAATGTTTTAATTGTGTTTTAATCTTTTGTGTGATTTTAATGTTTTAATTGTGATTCTGGTGTTTGTTTTATGTGATGATTTGTGATGTGGACTGTGAAGCGCTTTGTGTTGCCCTGTGTATGAAAGGCGCTCTACAAATAAACTTTGATTGATTGATTGATTGAAAAGGACTAGTTCAGATACATTGTAGACAGAGATTACAAACAATATGTAGTTGGAGATACAGGGGGCCAAAGAAGAAACCCAGAAGGGCACATAGGAGGGGGGGGGGGGAGGGGTTAATAAAAAGGCAATATAAGCAAACAGTATACAGTCATAGATATACCCAAAGTAAACAGAGAAACAGCATAGAGTATTTACATGAACAAATTTACAAAATATTTACAGATTGTTTATCATCATCATAATGACACCATGATGTTTCTATACAGTCTATGGTCTATACCCACACATACACACACACACCCACACCCATAAACACACACACTCCACACACACACACACATACACCCCACAGATAAGATAAGATATAAAGTCTGCCCGCCTGAGTTTCACCAAGCTACAGTAAGCGGAATCCAGCCAACATCAAAACCAAATCCGACACACACACAGACCCCCAAGCAGGCCCCCACCCCAAAAAGGGGGGGAGGGAGCCCACGCCCGGCCCATTCCCTCTCTTATTTTGTTCCTTTTTCCCAAGTGTTTTTCTTAACTAATTGCATTAAAATAAGCTTTCGCTTACCCTGACTTGTGTATTATCATTATATGCACATATGCACATATTATTCATGTTATTATTATATTTATCTACTTATTCATTCATTTTTTATTTTATTTTATTATTATTATTAATTTTATTTTATTATTATTCCATCCATCCATCCATCCATCCATTTTCTTCCGCTTTATCCGTTGCCGGGTCGCGGGGGCAGCAGTCTAAGCAGAGACGCCCAGACTTCCCTATCCACACACACCTCCTCCAGCTCGTCCGGGGGGACCCCAAGGCGTTCCCAGGCCAGCTGAGAGACATAGTCCCTCCAGCGTGTCCTAGGTCTTCCGCGGGGCCTCCTCCCGGTGGGACGTGCCCGGAACAGAGTGCATTGTGAGATTTAACAGTCCAATTACACTTGAGGTGGACACAAATGTTTAGCCAGATTTAAATTGTTAGGAGGCGTGGCTCACTAACAACTCTCACATGGCATAATCTGTGGATGGACTCCTCATGTGTGTGTTGTCTTTACACAGATCTTTAGTCTCAAGTATGAACAATCTTCTAGTGTATGGCCACCTTTTAGACTACATATGCATTCTACTCCACAATCAAGGATAAGAGAATCATCCTTGATTGTGGACATTCAAGGATGATTCAGCATTTTCAGTCATTTTGAAATGTAGTGTTCTGAGCTATTTTTGTCCAGTACTTAATCCCATTTCTGCTATGTATGTAAAAGCAATACAATGGATTTAAACATACTGGTGAAGAATCCGGTTCTGCCACTGGAACTTGAAGCATCCCAATTGTCCAAAGTTGGTTGGGAGTCAAATTCCCCTCAGTGCTGAGGGGGTGGCAGTCCCATGTATTGACAAAATAATGGAGATCTGCTTGTAGACGTGGTATGTACACATAGTGCATGCAGAAGACATGAAGATCACATGTCAGATCCAGTAGGCCCTCTTCCTCTGGAACATGGAGCTCATTATAGTACTGGGAAGTTACCCCAGTCCAGACATCTCTCCATAGACGCTCCACTCTGAAAAAATGTCCATGAAAATACAAATACTTGAAATGAGTGAGAAATAAATATGACTATTACCGTTGGTTATGGACACTTCTCCCAGCAATGAAGCTACCACGGTTAGTTCCACGCACTTCAAACATGTATCTGGCAATGTCCACATTTTCAACTCCTATCTGCACGGACTCTGAAAGGAAATGTTTAGGTTTTGTCTTGGATATTGAAAAAATATATTCAGGCTATTATTGAAAGGTAAACGTTGTTTTCTTGAATGTATGGGCCTAAGCATAGAGTATCTTTTTAAACTTACACACATGCACACATCTATCATGCCCAAATAAAAGCTTACAAATATTCACCTTGATGGACAACCATGTCTTCTCACACCCTCCATGAAGAAGCCCAATGCTGTCGCAGCTTTGTTGTTTGCAGCCGCATTCAGGAACATAATCTTGAATTAAATTAAAAGAAAATTTCAATAATCTTGAGAGACAATAGATTTATCTCATAATACTGAAGGACAACAATAATCTTACCTTTCTTGAAAAACCATCAATGCCTCCAAAAATCACAATACTGTACTTTAAAAGATATCATGAAACAAACTCAAACAGGTCTGTTTATAGTCACAAATATACAAAATACTGACATATACCTTATCAATTTATGATTGGTGTCAATGTGGACTAGGCTTAGAGGAGCAGGAACACTGTATGTCCGCCTGGCCACACATGTAAGCTGCACCATTCTTGAAATGACACCTGCACTGTCCACTTGCTGCAGTGATGCCTTAACTCTGGCCCATGGCCTGTAATGCCCCCTTCACAGTTCTGTAGCCCGCGTCTGGCATTCTGGACTTCACTGAACGGACTTCAATATCGAGCTCATCATCTGGGATGTCTGAATAGGTCCCTCTGACAGACAGGTCGTGTTCTCGCATTCTCTTACAGAGAGTTGACCTGGAGACACCATGAATTTTCGCCATAGATTCCATGGGCAATCTCATGGCTATAATGCTCTCCAATGTCTCTTTGTTAATCCCAAGTCTAGGTCGCCCGACTCCCCCGTTCCACTCAGCAACTCCCACATCCTCAAATAGAGGTGCAGGCCTTTCGCTTGACAGACAAGACTGGAGCATTTCGGAGATTTGATTAAATCCATCTAAGACAACTTGCGGGATATCAACATACACCCTAGCAGCACTGCAGAACTGTAGCTCTTGACTAATGACCGACTGAAGATGTATCATGTCAACCGGCTCCCTGGCTATCACTGCGGCAATCCTCTCTCTTGTCCTTTCTAAAGACTGTCGTCTAATTGTTTCCTAAGGAATGAAAAAAAGTTAAATTCACATTAAACTGGCCTCAAAATGACAATTTTATACAGGCTAAACTTACCAATGAAGTGTTCGAAGCCATGATGTCTTGTCCTGACTTGAACCTGAAAAAGCAAAACGTTTTTTTTGTAGTATATTGCTTGTATTGACCGTCACCTAAATAAATAAATGGATACATTTCAAATTATACTTTAAATTACACTCAAGAATTTAATTCCTGCCTTTTAGCTTAGCGTTAGCAAAGATTAGCTTTGGGGAATCACCAAAACGTAGAAGCCACCTAGCAGAGCTAGCTAATGATAAGCTAAGTTAAAAACATAGTCCGTTGTTTGCGTTTCTTGTGGGTGATTGAATACGTTTGTTTAATGTCAGCAAAGGGTACGGTACATACCGACTAATGATGAGAAAACGAAACGCACTTACCGGTTTGCCGGTGGACGCCATGTTCAAATGAACAGGAGAAAGTCGTCTGGCTACATCATGGGCTACATCTATGGAGGATTGGCTGATCGATTGCTTCTGTCTTGATGAACCCGGAAATCAGGCATGGCATTGCAACCAGTGGGGGAGGGTCCCAGCTCAAAAGTGGCCAAAATGACGTGCGCTGACATGCTGCAATACCACCCCGGGCCGATGGGGGTGGACCCAGAAGTAGAATTAGCCAATGCTAACATATAGCATTGGCAGACCTCTCAAAAACGTCTTTACAGGATGGACCAAAAGTTGGCTCTTGGCCCAAAGCTCCGTTCCACATGTGTGTCAATGCTGAGGGGGGTGGATTGTTTTGGTCCACTCTAGTTTACTTGCTGTGAATTTTTGAAGTCTCTCGTTCAAATGAATGGAGCATGCGCAGATGTGTTTTTTCACAATTTTCTTGTGGGCGGGACCACTCGCGGCCATTTTGGATTGCTCCAGTAGAGCACATTTTTTGGCCCATTAGTTAGAACGGCAGAGATAGGCGTGACTCTGTCCATTAATATATACAGTCTATGATTGCAACCAGCGGGAAAAAAAGCAACACATTTTTTGACACTGAATTTTTTTCAACATATTTTGACATTGAATTTGAAAACATTGAATGTTTTGACACTGAATTTTAAAACATTGAATATTTTGACACTGAATTTTAAAACATTGAATTTATTTACACTGAATACTTTTTTGTTACTGTTAATATAATTCAAAAGCAAAAAAAAAGTGTTGATAATAAAAACACAAAATAACCTTCATAAAACAGATCTGACATTAAGCATAGCAAGTTTCAAAGTGTCAGTGTCAGCGGTTGCGGTCGGCTGATACATACACGGAACAAGAATTAGATTTTCATGATTAGAGTGACTCCAGATGTTTTTCTGTTGTGTATTCTTTGTGTTATCACTAAGGGAATGGCACAGGTGGCTTCATGACAGGGTTATAGTTATGTGTATATGTGTGTATGCTCTTACACTGAAGGGTCAAACCGGAAGTGCATTGTATAAATGACGCGGTGCGCTTGATGCGTATGGGTTGTATTTGTTTTCCTCCGGGAATGGTTCGTGTTTCCACGGTTATCCCGCCCTTATAATGCTGCGACCAACAACGTGATCCGCAGCTTTGGAAACACTTTGATCTTTGTGCTTCATAAAGTCAGCAGCTGATTGGAGCAGAGGGAACATCTGCATGATCCCCGTGTAGAGCTCCTTCTACCACCGCAGCTGCTCCTGCTCCGTGCGATCGGTGAGTGTGTGTTATGCTAGTGCTGTTAGCGTTAGCATTAGCCACAGGCCGCTAGCATCTTTTACTGTCTGTTCAATGGAAATGTATTCGTTTGTTAACTTTAACCCTAACATTAACAGAATTCTTGGAGCACATTCACCTCGTGTTTATATTGTTGTCTTTTTATCTGGGATGTTTGTCCCTTATTTTAGAAAGTCCAAGGTAAAGTGCCTCTCGAGGACAGGAACGTCT